CTCAGGGCTGGCTGTTCTCACACCAGAACCGGCCTCACTCCCTGCTCCCCGCCACTGGCTAGCAAGCCCAGAGAACAGCCCAATTTAAACCCAGTGTGGTAGTCAGGGGTTACAAGGAGAACAATTACATACAGGACACAGAATTTATACTACTTTACAATAATCACCCAGAGTTAAATACAAGAAAGTGCAGGAAATCTGCCTACAACACGAAAGACCCAAGAAAATTCAACTGAGAGCCTGGGTTCCACAGCAATGGCCTGCATGAGTCCAGCTGAAGACCTAGAGCTGATGACAATGCCTCTCATGAGTCTAGCTGGAGATCTAGAGCCCATAACAATGACTCATGCCAATCTGTTTAATGGATCTACACTGGGAAGGTCCAAAGATCAGCAGTGAAACCTTGAAGTCTGTGCCAGCTTGGTGAAGGGTCTGTGCCAGTAGGAGGAGGGTTTTACACTGGAGCCAAGAAATGACTCGAGATAGGGACCAGGGCTCCCCTGAAAAGCACCACAGCCATCCTCAGCAACAATGAGGTCCTGAGGTCTTCTGATAACAGTGGAGTACATGTCACTGAGCCAGTGTGACAAGCTTCTCCTGGAGATTAAATGGCACATATCTTCCCCTTCAGAGCTAGGAAGCCATGCTCAAATTAAGGACCAGAGCTCCCCCAAAGTGAACCACAGCCACTCTCCGCAACAGGGTCCCAAGCTCCTCCGATGATAATGGCCGAATACACATCGGGGAAGCCAGCACGACAAACTCCTCCAGGAGAACCAACAGCTCCAAACAATAATGCCTAAGAGAACCCACAATGCTCCACTCTTCCTCTCCATGTCTCTTTTTATGCTGGCAACTTTCTGCCACCGACACTCAGCACCATGCTGACTTAATTCAGCTGGTATTAAATTGACCACTAGTTTTTAATCCACCCAGATTGCCAAAGCCAAGTTAGAAGTGCCACCACAGAAGGGCTTTAAATGCTTCGGGTCCTGAGCCCAGTGTGGCCCAACCCTGCCCTGTGGATGACACGAACCCACTCGTGTTAGGAGTCAGACTAGACACATCAGCAAGAGCAACTCAAAACGTAACATGGTCAAGAAGTAAATAAATTCTCCTGTAATCTTAAGCCCATCTGGAGCACTAGATGCACTTTACTTTGTTCTCTTGCTTCCAAAACATCCCAGCACAGCCGAGGGCCCTGTTCAGGTCTGTGTGTGGCAGAGGCGGAACCATGGGAGCTCAGGGACTGCATGGCATGATGGCTGGCACACGTGATGCTCCCGGTATAAGCTGGCCACTTGGCATGCTGTCCTCTCTGGCTCTCGGTGGCCGCTGTTCGAATCACTCCCTTACCCCTTCTGAAGACAGCAGCCCCTGCTCTCTAGAGGACAAAGGTCCTCTGCCCCAGCTTACCACAGCTGCTCTACTTGGCACACACATTGCATAAGCAACCAGATTCCCTGGGAGACTGTTGTGTCCCAAACAAGGGTGTGCCCTGTCAAGGGTGTACCAAGGGCAGGAGACAAGTGGCCCTCAGTACAAGGGCAGATGCCACCATAGGCACAGAATGCGTGGACCACCTTGTCCAAGTTTCCGCAAGAAGAGTCACCCATGGCTCCTTCTGCATCCCAAACCTGCAGTGGGGAGGAACAGACAGGAGACATCAGACTGCTTTTGGCTGCTGAGGAGAATGGTGTCACCTGTCGTCAAGGGCAGGAAGGGAGGACGCGATCAGTGGAGGTCACGGTGACACCATCAGTGCCTGTGGTCTCCAGCCAGGGCTGCGCCATGGGCCAAGGCTTCCCCTGACAGTGGAGGTCTTCTTTTGATATAAATGCTTTATTACCAAAAATTTCTACTATATAGAAAAGTAGACAGAACAGTCTAATAAACAACTGTACAATAATGCACCAACTTAAGCAGATTTCAGCTGATAGCTCATCCCCGCACCACCTGCCTCCCCTGCGTTACTCAGATCTCACATCATTTCCTCTGTAACAGTCTTCTCTGCGCATTGCTAGGCTGTAAGGACTTAAAGATGACATAACAACAACATTATGAGCACATTTAAATAAACTAGAATTCCAAATATGCTGTCAAGTGTTCAGGTTTCCTGACATAATGTCAAGTGGTCTCATAGATGGGTATTTTTAGTCTTTTTAACTAGAATGCACGTAATGTCTGCAGGTGGCAAGCAGTTGATTTTTTCCTAAGTATTTCTAAAGCTATAGATTTCTCTTTCTTTGTTATTGCAGTTTTGGTTGGAGCAATCACCCTTGACCAAATGACCAGTGTTTCTCCAGCCTCCTCCGCTGCCTCCTTTCCGGAGTTAGACACAGATTCCAGGTTACTCCGTGTCTTAGTTACTTTATGCTCATCGCTGAGACAAAATACCTGATGCCCAAGTTGGGAAAGGAAAGGTTTATTTCTCACAGTTTTTGGAGGTTTCAGTCCACACTCAGTTGGCTCCCAGGCAGGCGGGCATGGCTGGGCCGCCTTTCCATGGCGGCTGCAAACAGCAAACCGGAACCAGCAAAAGAGCAAGACACACCTTCTTCCTGCCATTACATCACATGCTGGCTCCACCCCTATGTGAGTGGAGCATTGACACCATCAATCCAAGCACTAGACAACAAACCAATCACAAGTACACAATGCAAACTCATGAGGCCTGGGGGACACAGACATAAACCATGACACTCCGCCTGGGCAGGACTGAGGTTCCGAGTCTCATGCACTCCCTTTGTATCCAGTCAGTGCCGGGGCTGCCTCGGACAGAGCAGACTGGAGTGGCCAGGTGGTGGCTGAGTGTGGTTCCACACACTCCTCTTGGCTGTCTCCTAGGTCGCTAGTTGAATACAGAGGCTTGGTCAGCTTTGAGCTTGTGTTTTGTATGTGTGGAGCAGGGCGGATGTGCATACAATGTAGTGGTTGGTTGTCTCTTCCTTGGTAATACTCCAAGAGCATGCCCTTTAAGGCTTAGACATTCATTCACTAGGACACACTGACGATGATACATTAAATCTCCCATTTCTTACTCCTAGAATATTACCACACAAAACAAATCTCTAGTTAGTTACTCAGTGTTAGAGTTCATATAAAATTTCAGGGGAAAAGCCTGACGCTTTTCTTTGATTTGCCAGCTTTCAAAATAATGTCTGGGATCAACCACGGCTTCCTGATCTGTTTTTTACTAGTACTTGTCAGGTGGTAGTTGTAGTTGCTGCTGTTTTAAGTGTGTTTTGATCTCCTGAGCATTTTGCATGCATTTCTGTTCATTTTGGTGTTTCATGAGAAAGGCTCTGAGTCCTGTGACACAGCACTGTGGTCTCTGAGCACACCCTTCCTCTTCCTCCTGATGGGATGTTCTGAGTTCAACTTGCATGTCACGTTTCCAGGACCTGGATCTGTTAGAGCCATTCTGCAAGGATCATCATTTCTTGTGGTGGGAAAGTGTGTCTTAAGAGCTCAGTTGGGTGCTGTGTGCCCACTGCCTCTGGGCTGTGTAAGGAAAACATTTCAGTCCCACAGATGTGTTCTGCTGCCCTTTCAGCTGGGATGAGTGTGTGTGTGTGTGTGTGTGTGTGTGTGTGTGTGTGTGTGTGCATGCGTATACATTCTAGAAGTATCACATGCTGTGATCACACTGCTTTCTAAATGCTTCTTCCAAACATAATTTCAGAAAGATAATAGAAATAGTAATGCCTCTCATTTGCTTACTAAATGTACCATATATAAGCAGTAAGCACCATTCTTAGAGTAGTGGATACTTTGTAACAAAAACCAAAACAAGCCTTGGAGAAATGTTTCAACTGCTAAATCCAATTTCATGATCTGAAAAACACCTTCTTCACATGGCTGTTGTAACAAAGCTGTCATTTACCAAGAATTTATCGCAAGCCAGACACTTCCTATACATGTTCTTTTCATTGAATCTTTATAGCAACATTTTCAAGTAGGTGCTGTTTGCTCCTTTCATAAGTAGACAACTTTCCCACAGTGACCCGGGGGTTACTTGTGGCAGTGGCTCTGAGCTTTTAACCTAGAGTTTCAGGCATTGGTTTTGTGAGGGGAGGAGTAGATGGTGGCACCAGCCCATCCACCAGCAGCCACGCCAGGGGGTCTCTGCACAGCACACAGCATGGGAGGTGAAGGCTGTGTGACCCGCTTTCTGCTTTGCCAAGCCTCACCTGTGTGTCCAGCGTGACCACTGCACCTAGGCGGAGCTCGAGCCGGCACCTTCTGCCGTTCCGTCCTCGGAGCACACCGGTGGGGCAGGCGTCCAGAGCGAGTGCACTGAGCCCCTGTTCTCCAGTCATGTGTTACAAGCTGCTCCTCAGCCTTTGTTCAAAGCAGAATTCACAAAACTGACAGATTCATCTGCTTATGTCAGGAGCCATCAGAGCCAATCACAGGACAGTCCCGGGAGGCAGATGGGGTCACTTTTCACAGAATAGGAGAAAGAAAACAAAAATTCTCTTGTCATTAAAAAGGACAAATACATTTCCCCACAGCGAGCTCATTCCCGGGAAACAGAGATTTATACTAATGCAGAGTTCCATTAGGAGATTTTGAATAATTCCAAATCAAAACCTCACCCACCCCCTCCCCATCAAGCTGTCATTATCCAGTTCGAGCCAGTGAGCAGTAGTTCCTATGGTGAGTGATGTCTTCCTAATAACAGAAACTTGGGGGACAGAGCACAAAATATGACAGGCTTTCTAGGTAGCACATAACTACACACACTGTTTAAACTCATCTAGAATGGGACTGTGTGTGTGTGCATGCGTGTGTGTGCATGTGTGCTCTCCCAAGACAGGACAGTCACTGCCTGTAGCAGTCACCAAGAAGAGGCCAACAGCGGCCAGTAAGGCATCCAGGAAGAACAGCAGCAGTGGAACCTGGAGCCCTCCCACAAGGTGAACACTAAGATGCTACAGCTGTCAGCATTCTCATGTCTCCAGAACCTCACTGTTCTGTTTAACTTTGTCTCACAGGAGAAGAAAACCTCCTGGCAATTCTGCGGCGAAGATGGTGGAAGTACATGATCCTGGGCCTCATCGACCTGGAGGCCAACTACCTGGTGGTGAAGGCCTACCAGTACACCACGCTGACCAGCGTCCAGGTGTGTGCCGGCGCCCACCAGGCTCCCCCGTGGCTACTCTAGGAGTCTTGCAATAGAAGAAGAGATGGGCTGGGTAAAGCTTAACTTGGGCTTCATGTCTTTCTATTAATTTTATTAATTCTTGTATAGTTGGGCAACTTTTTCCTCTTTATTCTGAATATGCCATGATAATTAGCAGTAATGTAGGAAAATAATTTATGGCTATGAATATTGCCAACTAACCTTGTGTCAGCAGAATTATTAGTAAGTGTAAACATAAATCTATTTTTATCACAGCTTAACTTTTCAGAATATTAATAGACTAAGTAATCAAGCCACTTAATAATCTTTTCTTTTAGCTTATTTTGAATATATAAAATTTAGAATCTGAAGGAAAACATGAGTAATGTAGATAAAACTCCTAAAATGCATTATGCATGAAGATGGCTACTGAGTCCTATCTCCTCCTCCTACGGCTCTCTCTCTGTGTCACACACACACACACACACACACACACACACACACAGGTACGCATGCTCATACACACACGTACAAGTTTAATCTAGTTTTTCAAGTTTTCTAGTTTTGCCAGGGATATATTCTCCACTGCACCGTAAATGATAAGCTTAACTGTATTTATCTGTATGTATCACCCTCGTTTTTCTTTGTAGGGAAATATGGTGAAATTCATAGCCATTCCAAAGCTGTGGAAAAAAAATAAAACATGACTCACATACTAGATGTAGCTTACCATTGGTATTTCAACAAAATTTCTGCCATCCTGTTAATTTTCCTGGAGCAACAATAGTAAAACATGGAAAAACAAGCTAACCATGTACCTAAATTTAAAGCTTCTAGGTCAGATGCTCTTACCCTAATTTAACTTCCCTATGGTCTGATTTGTAAGTGAACTTCAAAGCTGAGGTCTCAGTACGCTATTACTGCTGTAATGGGAGGTCTTGGACCAGATCCTTTATGATGATTGCAAGTCCACCAGCTCACAGTTCTGGGGATCAGCAGAGCCTTCCTGGCCGGGGCGTGTCCTCAGCAAAGGGGAAAGCAGGAGGCGAGGGGAGAGTGCATGCTGCACTGGGCGTCCCTCATCTGACCATGGCCGCAAGGCCTGACGTTGCCCGCATCCACCCTCAGAGCCCTCGTGAGGGCCGTGCCCCAGCCTGTGCACAGGCCAGGGAAGCCTGAGGGATCCCAGCACTGGCATCTGCCCTTGGCAGGCCAGAGCCACACAAACACTGCAGGACGAGAGCCTTGAGGTGCCCACAGGTCTGGGGCTTTGGAACTGGCACCATGGGCCAGCAGCGAGGAACCCGAATGGGGGCTTCACTGCAGTACCCATCCAGGATCCTCTCGGGCTGTGCAGGGTCTCAGACCTGGCCTCTTTCCTCCAAGTTTAAGGGTCCGAGGTTGGCTCAAGAATTTCTACCTTTTTCTTTTTCGTCTCTTCCTCTATGGAAAAGAAATTTCCCCAAATGCCCCATGCACGATATATAACATTCCTTTTGGTTAAAAAAATATACGGACCTGCCGGTTTGCATTACCTCTTTATGTATCATCCATGGTTCTTGCTAAGACTTAAAAGATCTTAAAAGCAAGAATCTTAAAAATAATTTATAAATCATCCTAATACAGCACCATACATAAATTAGCACAGAGACATAAATACATCAAATATAAATACAGTTAACCCCACATCCTGAGCCCCTTATTTACATTTGCTTTATCTTTTTTCTTTAAAGATCTCACTGAATTTCAAAGCAAACACACATACACAAGACAGCTACAAACTTCAAAGGGAGAAGGATCAAGCTCTTGTCTCCTCTGTACAGTGACTGTTTTGTGCCTCTGTGTTCATACTTCCTTATAGTAATGCTCTGAAACATAAAAGCCCATCAGACAAGTCACAGTTACACCCACATGTTACACATTGTACACCAATCAGTTGGGTTTCCTGAACTGAGTACATTTACCACAAATTTACACTTTTAAGCTTTTTAATATTTTCAATGATAAATATACTGGGACAATTTTTGGAAGCCAAAGCCTGGGGAGCACTCCCTTTGTATAAATTAACACCATTGCTTCGATAAAATCAGGAACCTGGAGTTGCCCTAGGAAAGCAGCCTTCTCTGACCACATCTTTTTCTTTGTCTTATTTTTCTTCAGTTAGAAGCAAGATGTAAAAGTGAGCTATCTTACTGCAGTGGCCCATGATCACCTTAAGTTGCACACACAGGCACACACACACACACACACACACACACTCCACACTGCATTTTCCTCCTGGGCAGCTTTGATCAAGCTTGTGTAGGACCGAGAACATCCTTCTCTACATGCCCCACTGAAATCTGGCCCTTTGCACGCTCAGAATGCTTGCAGACCTAACTGGAGAAAGCTCTCCCAAGAGCGCCTTTGAAGATAAGGGACTCTTTTGGTTCTGATAACTGGGGCATCAGGAAAAAGGACATCAGCCTACAGGGTCGTGAGAGTCACCGGGGGCTCAGTTTCAGTCTTTACCTTAAAGCAGCCTCTCTGCTGGTCACAGATGGCTGTTGGCATGGAGGGGGCTGTCCTCTTCTTCCTTCCTGACCAGTGACGGAAAGATGGTGGGCCACACCACTGAGTAGGAGTCCAGAGCTTTGTTCTCATTGGACCATGCTAATTGCTGGAGGAATGCCGTGAGCTCATTGACATAGACCTGGGCTCTCTAAGCCAGTAGATGGAAAGTTCTCTCCATGGCTTAGACAGGTGTTTCTTTACAGTCTACCACTGACATTTGGAGTGGGCTGCACCCAAGCCCAGAGTCAGGAGGGAACCAGTGCTGCCCAGCCATGCATCTGTCACCCATGGAGGGGAGGATGAGGCAGGTGAGTGCAGGAGGACCAGCCATGATGTCCCCGCACCTCACCCCCATGGACCCTGTGATGAGAGCAGGTTCTTTTCATGCTCTAGCAGGGCTTCAACTTCAGCTCTGTTTCCTCAGTCTCCCACATGAGAACAACATCTGCTTGTGTTGGTCACCTCACCAAGCTGTGAGAGCCTCCACCGCAAGGACAGTGCTTGTCTACCTCGTGATCTCGGGCACTCACAGGGTGCCCAGCAGACCCTAGGTGGTAACTGTCTAAGGAGACTGGTAGCATGGCTTCAGGGAGATGTTTAGGAAGAATACCTGTTTGGGAATTATAAAACTGGTCCAGGAGCCGAGAGGCAAACCTGTAAACTGGGAGGGGAGATCCAGAAGTGATCCCCGCCCTGGGAAATAGATGTGATTTTCTCTTTATACTCTTTTCTCTTTTGTTCTGTTCAGCATTGAAAAAAATCACAACTCCTTGCTGGTTTCTTAACTTCTGTGACTTTCCCCAAAGCAGTTACCTGGTTTGTGTGTACACGTGAACAGTCCCGGCCTGTTGCTAGCATTCCCCTGAGCCTCAGGCATCTCTCTCAGCGCACGAGTGCATCTCCAGTCACCTGTCCACCCCACAACCCTGCCGGCCCACCCAGAGTAGCTTTTGGACACGCTGTGTAATGCCACAGTCTGGGAAAATGTTTCTTTTAACTCTATAGTATGACACAAAGAGAATAAAATTCCAGTGACTCACCAATTGATCTCTGTAATACCGAACAGGAATAAGGGGAAGGAAAGGAGCAGGTTGAACCTAACAATTCTGGAACCATTTTGTCACTTGCAATAACTAAGCCTATTAAATAATAATAAATGGCCCAGACAGCAGCCATTTGCTCTAGAAATCGTATCTGTATTTCTGTTCAGTAATTTTATTCCATTTACTCATTGCAAATTGGCAAAATGAAGGAGAACCAATGCCAGTTGTGCCTCTTTCCTTGGAGAATGCTCTGAGCATGTAGCAGGTGCTATCGTCAGATTGATCGGTAATGGAATCCCTTGCCACACACCAGGAGATGCCCCACTTGCAGCAGATGCTGCAGAGACATGAGCCAGCCTTGCACTCCAGGACACGCAGGCCAGTAGAGAGACAGGGGCACAGCGAAGGACACAAAGGCTGTGCACCTCAAAGGGCCAGATTGCAAAGGGGACAGATTTCCCAGGAGGCAGAAAGAGTGATTACCTGCATAGTGAAGAGAGTGTCCATCTCTGCATCTGGATAAAAGGTGGGGAGCAGAGAATGTGGGGTAACTTCTCCCATGGAGTCAGCAGAATGAGGAATCTGTGGCAGGTGAGCAAATATCCTGTTCAAATCATAGTGGCTGAAACCAGCACCCTGGTCTCCTTGTTTGGGACATTGTATTAGGTGACAGTCACACTTGTAAGCCTTGGTGCATTCATCAAACAACCCTTGGATGTGCGGTTCCCATCAAGAGTGCACATTCTGAAGCTCAACACAGTTCCAGTGGAATCTGTCAATACCTCACAATATAACTTGGGCTTTGGGGAAGATTTTCCTGAGAATGCAGCTTGGGCTGATGTCCAGGAGGGCAGGTGGGATGGGACACAATCCAGGCAGACCATGGGACGTGTGGACCAGGCAGGACACGGCCCTGGCCCAGGCCTCACAGCTGGGCAAGGAGCCTGGGAGATCAGACTTCCAAACGGGAGGGAGGGGAGGTAGGTGCTGGCCCAGCAGGGCTTGGTGGCCCAGCTGGCACCATGGGACCCCGAAGGGAAGGCGCTCAATTGGAAGGGGATGGGACAGGTTTAGGTTTCAGAGATGATACCACCTCGGGGTGGAGAACCAGGGAAGGTCAGAGGATGGAGGGGCTGCCCATAGAGTCAGGGCCACGCCATGGGTCTTCAGGGCCAAGGCTGGGGTGTGACTGGATATCCCAGGTGACAGCAAGCCTGAGGGTTTGAGCAAGTAGCAAGGGACCAGACATGGCCTGAGCACACGTGCTTTGTAAGAGACTTCATCCAGGAGCACACGGACCAAGACTCGGAACCCGAGCGCGTAGAGCAGATGGACGCGGAGCCGCTCCACGCTCTGCCCTCTGACCCATGCGTGCATTTCTTCGCCAGCCTCGTAGTTAAATGT